CCTCCATCCCTGCGCTCCTCGTCCCCGCGTCCCTCGTCCTTCTGTCCGCCACCGCTGCAGCCCTCGGCCCTCCATCCCACATCCCGCATCCTGCATCCCTGCCTCCTGCAGCCTGCCGCCCCTCGTGCCTCCGTCCTTCACCTCCGCTCTCCGTCTCTCGGTCCTCCTGCCTTCATCCCTCCATCCTTCATCCGTCCCTCATCCCTCACTCCTCATCCCTCCGTCCCCTATCTCTGCATCCCTTATCTCTCCATCTCTCATCCCTCTGTTCCTCACCCCTCCATCACCCCTTCAGCCGTCTCCTCCTGTGGTTGCTGAGCCACTGTTTTCCTTTCCCTCCCCTTGTGGAATGCTGACCTTCCTCTCCTGCCACATGGAGCCCCGCTCCAGGTCCTTGCGGAGCCCCCGAGAGCCAGGAAGGGCGCTCGGCTCTTCCAAAGGGCAAGAGGTCGAGGACTCCCCTTGTGGTCCCCTGCCACTCCACAGGGAAAAGGGGGCATCAGAAAACGGGGCATCACTCACGGAGCTTGCCCATCTCTGCCTTCCCTCCTCCTGCTTTTCCCAGCCGGCAGGGAGACACAAAACCGTGTTGTGGCAGGGGGGAAATGTTCCCTCACATCAGAGAAAGGTGGTAAACAAGGGCAGAACGTATAGAGTATAACAATCAGTGACTGCCTGAGACATGAGCCGTACACCGGAGCAGCTCTTTAAAGCAGTCTTTTAAGCCTGTTTCTGAAACCTGAAGGGTTTTCCAAATGTTTATTTCAGGTCGAGAGCAATTATTTTAGCATTAAAAATAAAAGAAACGGCAGCTCAAAGTGCACTGTGTAAACATGAGAACTATAAATCAAGTGTGTCAAATAAACAAGCACACCCAAAGCTGGCTAACAACTCTCCATCCTTGCTCTGAACTCTCCCCGTGTTACATAATGTTGATAAACTGCTGCAAGCACATTTGGGGAACAGACACAGTGATGATGAGAACAAGGCAATATTTATCAGAGTACATTAGTATCCTTACCTGCCAAGTGGTGGTTTCAGAGGTTCATCCGTGCGCCTCACATCAGTCCTCCAAGTAAACAATTTAGTGGATGCTCAGCGCAGACATATGATTCCCCAGTGCCAGAGTCTCTGTCCTAGATGCTTCTGAATTGCTTATGGTTTATTAACTTCCTATGCTCTTCTGCTCTGCCTTGTACCAGGAGCCGTGCAGGTAGCAGCAGCTCCCACTTGTGAAGCTGGGGAAGAGAGAGATTGGGCAGATTTCCACATAGCTCCACATTTCAAACTGCTGATTTGCTGTGAAGGCTCCCGGCGCTTGAAAAATCGGTCTGTCCTCTAACAGGTTTATTCCAAAGAGAGGCCTGACCCAAAGCTTATTGGAGACAATGGGAATGTTCCTGCAGCTACAGTGGGAATTGCTTCAAGCCACTCTGAGCTACCTCTTGGCATGGAGGCATTTCTGAGTGCCTCTATTTTTCAAAGCTAGTAAAAATTTTCTGGGGGAAAATAAGGAAAAAAAAAAAAAGATATTAATATGTTCACCTTTTCTTCATAGAGGCAGATAGTGAGCACCCTGCTTCTGTTTCACTACAGTAATGCAAAGGTGTGTTACTCTGCACACTAATACTCAGGTGGATAAACCCTGTTTTGAATATGATTTCCATAGCTTCAACCATGCCATGCAGCTAGTAGAGAGGCTGGAAAATAGTTAAGTTCAAATTTACACATCTGTAAAGTCATTTGGAACTGAACTTGACCTTTCATTTTGAGCCATGGATGTTCACAGGGAAATTCTCACCAAATTAATCTCTCAATGTTTTTCTCTCCTCTGGTCTCAGGCCCAGACTTTGATTTGGTCACCCTTTTAATCTGCACATTTAATTTATTCCCTCTTTCTTCATGACCTTCATTAGACTTCTCCAGACAGGAGGAGTTAAGGCTGTTAACAGACAGATGTGAAGGAATGGATTGAAGGGAAATCCAGGGGGAAAAAAAGGGCTTCTCACTCTTGCTCTGCATAAATATGTTTTTGACCACAACTTATCTTGAATGAGTGTCACGGATATTAGATTGGAGAGAGTTAATATTTTGCCTCTTTCCCCTGTTCAGGAGGTTCTCCAGTTCAGTGGCTCTTTAATGACGAATTGCTCCAATAGGGGCAACTGAGAGCCCTGAAATCCTAGCTCAGTGTCTTGAGTGCCTCGCTGAGAAATGGGAGAAAGAGGGTCAAGATCTTCATCTCTGAGATTCAGAAGCGGGAACGAAGCACCAAGGAATGATGTGTTCTCCAGTGAATGAATTTAGCCCTCTCCTGACCACGACCACCAATTTAGTGTGAGTCAAAGCAAGTACATATATGCCTACCAAAATTTTTTTCTGCACCAAAATTATTTTTGTTCAGTTCAGGAAATTCCAGGGCTTTGTTTGGACTCTTGCAGATTTTCGGGGTTCCTTATATAGTTTACCTATTACTGCTGTTTTCCAAACTTGGGTTTACCCACAGATTTGCTCTCAGAATTCTATTTTTTTTTTCCAGTTAAATTAATATTTTATTTATGAAAAATATAAACATTAACCCTTACTTTTCGGTAGCATTTCTGTGGATTGAATTCTTAGAATATAAGGCTCATTTCCCTTACATGAAAGAAACAAACTAGTCTTAAACTAGTATTGTAGCTCAGCAAATATTTAAGCACTTGGTAAAAATGTGCATACAGTATTAAAATGTGCATCATTCCACCCATGTGAGTTATATAAAGCCAGATATACCTATGTTTGCAGGAACAGGGCCGCTCTTTTCATTTGCATTCCCTTCAGAGAGGCCAGAACTCATGTTCATGGGAGTCCTAGGCGCATTTTCCTATTTGTAATTGATTGTTGGCCTGAGGGTTAACTGCATCATTTAGAAATCCATCATCCTTTGGCATACTGTTTGTGACGTTCATTAGTTATGGCTTGCCTTAAACTCGGTCCTCATCCTGCAGCTGCATTGACTAATGCCAGGACCTGTTGCTGCACACTGAGCCTTAATGACCTTGGAGAGAGCAGTGGCCCGTTGCCATCCTCGTGGCTGTGGGATGGGGAACAGGATGCTAGATCCAAACAGGAACTGTATCGGTGCAGCGAGTGTGCAAGCTCACTTGGGGTATGAATAAGATAAAAAAAAAAAAAAAAAAGAAATATTGCTGATGTTTGAAGTTTGTTTGAAAGAAAGAACTCTGTTCTTAGCTTTTGCTTTTTATATTTCATTTATTTTTCATGTTTTCTGGTTTTACATTTAATTCATATCTGAAAGGTTAGTTTCCATTCTTAGACACAATGTAACATATTCTAATGCCTCTATTTAAAAGAAAAAGAAAAACCCACTACTTTTAAAAATACCTTCTATGTGGGAATTAAGGTAGTATGTCTTATTAAGGCTTTGATTTATTCATAGAACATTTTATTTGCTCGATATATTTTATCGAGGGAAAAATAAAGATCATATAATCTATAGTAAATGAGATTATGAGTGTGTGTATGTGTGTGTGTACATGGTGTCATTTTTATTGCCAAAGAGCAGTTTCATATTATACAAGACAATTGGATTTAAAACGAAAGGACTTTGCACTGCAGTGTATAGGATTGATCCTGAAAAGTGTTTTGCCTCTGGAGGCCAGGATATTGCGAGGACTTGGCTGATGAACCCAAAGTGGTCCAGATGGTTTTATACCATGATGTATAGGAGATGCATGTTTTGCTGAACACAGGCCTCAGATCCCACTGAACTGAAAGGAGAACTGTACAGCTTCCCTAATTAAATGAAGAACTTTACTGTTAAGTTTATTTCAGCTGCTGGTAAAAGAGAAAATGTAGGGAAGGAGAAATGGAATACAGGTACCCCTTTTCCATTGGAGAAACAACTTAGAAGAGGTTAGATATCATCAGAAACTGAACATGCAGACGTTGGTGTAACTTTCTCACTATTTTCATAAAATGTAAAAGAGACAAATAATTGAACTGGAGAACTTCAATATACTTCCAGATTCTCATAATATGCAATAAATCTTTACAGTTCTGCTCTCCAAGGAGATTCTTGAGTAAATAATAATGACTTTGGTCTCTTGGATAAATGAAGATGGATGTACTGAGAAAAATCTAATTATGGATTTCTCCTACCTTGACCCCTATCTTGTGTACCGGTATTATATTGTTGAGACTTCATATCTATTCCAGAAGCAGTGTACTAAATCGAAGCTTAATACAGAAAAAAAAAACTCCATAAACATGTCAAGAGATCTGTTTCTTTAATATTTCAGTATCATTTCTGGTGATTTTGGAAACAACAAATGCACTTTTTTACTTTTTTTTTTTTGAACATAGGCTAGTGCTACAAGTCAATAATACTAAGCTGCAGCCTACAGTCTTTTTTTTTTTTTTTTTTTGTCTATCATCAATAGAATTGTTTACTAAGGGCCATGTCTTCACTAGGAATGATTTAGAGGTGTTCCTATGCTAGGGTACTATAGCAACAATTTATCCTAGGTAAGGATATAGCTCATCTTCTGAAAGCTATATGCTACATTGCCTGATTGCCTCTGGGTTAAACATGCTAAACAGCGCTGTTTTCTCTATGCAAGTGTGTCTGTAAGAGGAACTTCTGGAACACATTTTTGTATCAAGGGCTCACAAAACTCTACTGACAGAAGTCCGCAGAGCAGGCAAAGCTTAATTTCAGAGTGATACAGACAGCAGAAATCAGAAATGTTATTGAGTGCATGACTGAAAGGAAATATCTGAGGACTCAACATGTCTGGCAGTGTTCACTGCTAGCACCGAGGGAAATAGAAGCACTCGGCTTTGATGTTAGAGTCTACTCTGGGTGTGCAGAGCTTATAATTACAAAAGTGGACATGCTTTCTATTTGGAACATGGTCCTGTATATATGAGATAGAAATAATGGAGAAAAACAAAACATTAAAGTCCTTAGTAACCCTTTTTACAGTGTCCTTCCACTGTCATATTAAGCTTTGAAAGTCCTTTCATGAATGCAAGAGTTAATCCTCCACTCTCTCCAAGTGCTAGTCTTCAGCATCCATTCCAGCTGTTAGTGCTTAATTGTGGACCTGCCTCTTTGCTTTGAGCTCCTCTGTAACATTCCTGGCTTTATTCGTTTGTCTGGAAGCACCAGAAGATGTTTGGTGTCAAGACTCGTGTTTTGTTCTGACATTTTACTTCACCTTGAATAAGGGAATCTTCGTTCATCGGGACTGCTCCAAATAATGACTAGTAATAATGGTAATGCAAGCAGCTCCAAATCCTGCATTCACATATGTGAAAGAGTTGTGAAAAGGCTCAAACTCCTTTTGATGTTGGAAAAATATTCAACAGAGTGGGAAGCAGCCATGAAAAGTTTGTGCATACAGACAAGACAAAGTTAGTAGAGATCTGAGAAGCTGCCTTCATGGAGTCTGCAGGAGACGGAGTTTGAAAAGTCACTTGGTATTTTGGAAATTTCTCCCTCAGGTGTGCATACAGTCAAAAGTTTTCATTCCAGTTAGTGATAAATTATCCGCACATCTTTTTTTTACAAATTTTCAGCACAAATGAGATACTTCTATTTGCTTATTCTGTCTAAACTCAAAAGTAAAACAATATATCATTCTGACACTTTTTGAATCATTGTAGAAATAATAGTCTAAAGATACATTTACATGCTTACAACCCAAATCTTCTAAGCATGTACATGCAGAAAGCTTTCAACTGTTTGGTTAGGGTATTCTTGATTGAAGAACAAGTAGGACAGCAATTACAGTTGTTTCCACAAGGTTCCACTAGTTTGAATAAAATCCATAGAGTAATTAATATATTTGGATTACACCCACACTGCAGAATCCTGTTGGTGCATTCAGAGCACAATTAATCACACTGAATGTCAATATTCACAAAGTCCCATTTAATTTGCATTCTGAGAAAATACTTTCTGAAAACCTGGCAGCTATTGTTAAATCCAAACCCAGAAGATTAATCTGAGTACCTCAGATTACAGAGGGCTCCTTTAATCTGTGGCATGAATCACAGTATTGATTAGCACTATAAATTGGTTTAACAAGATTTGTCAGTATCGAGATTTCAGTCAAAATGTCTTATAAAATTAAAA